TAGCCAAGGGGGGCCCCCAGCTAGCCAAGGGGGGGGCCCCCCAGCTAGCCAAAAGGGGGGCCCCCCAGCTAGCCAGGAGGGGGGCCCCCCGGAGTACCCTTCAGAAGGCCAGCCCTGGAAGCAGCGGCGGGTGGAAGAGCAGCAGCAAGTCGAGTGGGCTGCTGCAGCGCATGCAGGCAAAGCCACAAACAGCAGCAGCAGCAGCAGCAGCAGCTACTGGAGCAGCAGCAGCAGCAGCGCGGAAGAACTCGGCAGCCCCAAAGCAGCAGCAAGCGCATGCACTGCAGCCAGGGCCCGCAGGGCCAGGCCTTCTCACACCAGCAGCAGCAGCAGCAGCAGCAGCAGCAGCAGCTTGTGCGAAGAGGACATGCAGGTGGAGGAGGAAGGGCAGGGAGGCGTCTATACACCTGAAGGCCATGCTGATGGCGCCAAAACTTTTATTCGACGACACTCTTTGCGTTTAAAAAAACAAAAATCAAAATTAAAAACAGAAAGTGATTTCGAAGCAAAAGCAGACCCTGCTGCTGCTCACGGGGCAGCAGCGGCTGCAGCAGCAGCAGCAGCAACAGCAGCGGCTGCTGCTGCGCCCCACAGGGCCGGGGAACAACACAGAAAGAAGTGAAGGCCCACTCAACTTCTGCTGCTCTTTTGTTTTATTTTTATTTATTTGTTTTCAATTTATTTTAATTTCTTTATTTGCTTCTCTTGGCCCTCCTGAGAGCAGCAGCAGCAGCAGCAGCAGCAGCAGCAAGCGGGAGTCAGGCAGCTAGAAAGTTTCATTTCTTTACTCTAAATCAATTTATAAATGTTTTAAATCCATTTAAATGTTTTTACTTTCTAAAATCTTTTTGGAAAGTGAAGTAGAGGTAGAACAAAATTAATAATAATAGTAATAATAATAATAATGACAAGAAGAAGAATAATAATAGTAGTGAATAATAATAATGCTACTATCATTGTTAATTTTGATATTAACATAATAACAACAATAATAGTAATGGTGATAATTATTAATTATGATATTAACATAATAACAACAACAATAATAATGGCAATAATGATATTAGTTTAATAATAACAATAATAATAATGGCAATAGTGTTAATTATGACATTAATATAATAACAACAATAATAATAATGGCAATAGTGTTAATGGCATTAATGGCAAAAATGGCCAAGTACATCAGCTGTAGGCAGCCCAGAGGATCCGTTTGGTTTTTGTCAGCTTTTATTTGCTGCTGCCATTGTTGTATTAATGCCATTATTGTTCTAATAATAATAATAATAATAATAATAATAATAATAATAATAATAATAATAATAATATATATATATATATATATATTATTCATTATTATTCGCATGATTGATTTATTTTTAGCGGTAGGGGTGTTGCTGCTGTTGCCGTGGCTGCTGCTGCAGTTACTTGCTGCTGCTGCAGTTACTTGCTGCTGCTTCAGCAGCAGACGGGCCCCTTTAGGAACTGCATGCAAATTAAGTGCCTCCCTTATTATTTGTTTGTATAATCATTTATTTATATACCCTCTTATTTATTATTTATTATTTTTTCTTTTATTTATTTATTTATTTATTTATTTATTTATTTATTTATTTATTTATTTATTTATTTATTTGTTTGCTTGTTTGTTTTACACGAACACAAGGCTCGGCTGAGCTCCCCTCAGCTGAAGAACAGACCCCACCACGGATTATCCCATTTATTTATTTATTTTTATTGATTTAATTTATTTATTTATTTAGATTTTACAATTTAAAATTTCACTATATTATTTTTATCCATACTACTGCTTATTTTGAACGGATGTGCGCCCCCAGGGGCCTCAGGGGCCCCGGGGGGCCCCCGGGGCCCCGGGAGGCCCCTGGGGCCCCCGGGGCCCCCAGGGGCCCCCCGGGTACAGAGTTTGCCCCACAGAAGGAGAGTTTCTTTGTTTTTGCTGTTGGAGCGATTTTAAAAATGGGAATATTTATTTGAATTGAAAAATAAAATAAAAAAGTGGAACCTGGAGGCTTTAAGCTGGGTAGCGGAGAGCCAAGGGCTGGGTTGGTTCGTGGTGCTGCAACTTGGAGATCTTTTCCGTTTTATTTCTTCTTTTATTTCTTCTTTTTATTTAAATTTGAAAAAGATCGAAAAGTGTCATTTGAAGACGGAGAAGACGCAGCTGGAGTGCCTCGAGGTGGCGAAGGGCGAAGGACCAGAAGGCATCGACGAGCAGTAGTGACACCCGAAAAAAGTGGAAATAGAACTTCGAAATAAATAAAAGAAGAAAATAAATATTGAAAATAAAATAAAGAACTGCAAAGCTTAAAATGGGAAAGAGACGCGGCGGCCGCCGCCACAAAAAGCTGAAAAACGAAAACGCGCATGAAGAACTCCCAGGTGTATGTACACCCGACGACTTCGCTGCAACAGCAGCAGCAGCAGCAGCAGCAGATGAAACTGAAGACTTCCCGCAGCAGCAGCAGCAGCGGAAGCAGCAGCAGCAGCCAGATGTGTCGGATTATTTTTTGCGGATAAATGAATTAATTAGTTCTTGTCCTTTTCACTCTTTGGAAGAACTGGAAGCTTTCGTTTCGTCCACAGTGGAGGAAATCTGCAGCCGAGTGGGTTCGGGAAAGCAGCAGATCTTGGTGATTAAAATACAAATTGAATATTTTAAAAAATAATAATTAATTTATTTTTAGTTTTTAAAACTTGAAAATAAATTAATTATTCATTTTAAAAAGGAATTCGACGAAATTCCAACTCAGAGGCAGCAGCTGCGAAAACGTGAACTTGCATTTCAGAAGATGCAGAAGTTCAAATTCAAGATTCAAATTCAAGATTCAAATTCAAATTCAAATTTCAACTTAAATTTAAATCTAAATCTGAATTTAAATTCAGATTCAAATTTAATTTCAAATTTAAATATAAATATAAACTCAAATTCAAATTTAATTTCAAATTCAAATTTAAATTTTCCTAGTTTCTCAGAGCACAGCAGCACAACCATCAGCAGTTCCGAAGAAACTGATTTGCCGCTAAATGTTTCCTTTTCGCTTTTTGAAATATATATTTAAATTGTTTTAAATTATTTTTAAGTTATTTTAATTTTATTTTAAATTTATCTCAAATTTGTTTTCAATTAGTTTTTAGTCAGTTTTTAATTCATTTTCATTTGTTCTCCGCTGTCTTTCACTTTGCCTCAAACCTGTTCCTGATCCTTTAGACTGTTAACTTTAATTTGGTTTACTTTTAATTTAATTTAATTTAATTTAATTTAACTTAGTTCTATTTGTTTTAATTTAATTTAATTTAATTTAATTTTTAATTCGAATATTATTTGAGTTGTTTCTGAATGTGCTGGCAGGGCCTGCTGCTGCTGTCAGAACGGCAGTGCAGCCGCGTAGCAGAAAAGTTGATTTCTTTACTTGCAAACTTTTTGTCTTTTTCTCCTTCTAGCAGCAGCAGCAGCAGCAACAGCAGCAGCAGCAACAGCAGCAGCAGCAACAGCAGCAGCAGCAGCAGCAGCGGCGGGCGGCTGCCTGCTGCAGTTGCTGCAGCAGCAGCAGCAGCAGCAGAACCTTCGCTGGAAGCCGCGAAGCTGAGGTGTCTGTACACCTGGCGGCTTCTCCTCAGCCACTTCGTGCCCCTAGTTTCTCAGCTGTCTGTACACCCCAGCGGCTCCCACGTGCTGCAGACGCTGCTGCAGTCTCTTCCTGCTGCAGTGCAGCAGGAGTTGCTGCTGAACAGCAGCAAAAAGGCCAAGAAAATAGCAAAGAAGCGCAGCCAGCAGCAAGAATCCCAAGATGCTGCTGCTGCTGCTGCAGAGCAGGAGGCGCAAACAAGTACGATAAAGAATCCCAGCTTTTATTTCCTTTGTTTTTATTTGCTGCTGCTTGCTGCTGCTAGCTGCTGCTTGCTGCTGCTTGCTGCTGCGCCCATAAAATCACTTGCTGCTTTAAACAGATAAAATCTGCTGCTCTTTGCACTTGCTGCTCTGTTCCACCAATTGATTTCATTTATTTATTTATTTATTTATTTATTTATTTATTTATGTATATTTATATTTATATTTATATTTATATTTATATTTATATTTATTTATTTATTTATAATTACGTAATTAATTAATTAATTGTTTTTTGTTTTACTTTTTCAGCTGCCGATTTATTCCTGTCTATGATGGAGCAGCTGCGGTAAGAAACTCCTGCTTTTCGTCTCCGCCAATATTTTGCGTTTCTCACTCCTTGCAGAATATTTAATTAATTAATTAATTAATTAATTAATTAATTAATTAATTAATTAATTATTTATTTATTTATTTGCTTGTTTCTTTATTTATCTGTGGGTTGTTTTTTCGTTTTTGTGTTTATTTAATTATTTTGTCTTCGTTTGTTTTTTGGTTCATTCTGAATTTGCCAATTTGCATTTTCTTTATTTCCCGAGTTTCTGATTTTGCCTTCGTAACAAAAAGCCAAAAGGCAGCAGCAGCAGCAGCAGCAGCAAAGCTGTTTGGCTGCAGCAACAGCAGCTGTCTGGCCGCCGCAGCAGCAGCAAAGCTGCTCCGCAGGAGCAGCAGCAGCACCACCAACAAAGCTGTATAGCAGCAGCACCAGAAAAGCTGCAATGCAGCAGCAGCAGCAAAGCTGTATGCCAGCTGCTGCAGCAAAGCTGTATAGCAGCAGCAGCAGCAGCAGCAGCAGCAGCAGCAGCAAAGTGCATGCGGTGGACTTTGCAGAAAAATGCCGGAGGGCTGGGAGGGCCTTTTGAAAAGCAAATTTGGCTGTCACATTTTTAGGGCGGCTGTGAGGGCTTTGGCTGGGGCTGACGGGCTGGTGGCCCCGGAGGAGGCGGGTGGGTTTTTGTTGAAGTTTTTTATTTCTTTTTATTTGTTTTATTTCTCTTTCGGGCTCTTCAGACTCCCCCTCTTCTCCTCTTTTCCAGTTCACTCCCGAGACAATTAGTGCTGCGCTCAGGCCGCCATCGATGTGGTTTTGGACCCTTGAAATGCTGCTGCTGCTGCTGCTGCTGCCGCTGCTACTGCTGCGGGCTCCTTTTTGTTGCTGTTCGCTGGCTTCGAGGCAGCTGTCTGTTGATTGCTTTCATTGATTTTGTTTTTGATTTATAATTGACTTTATTTGTTTCTTTTTGAATTCGTTTTTCGCGATAGGCCACCGGGCGCGCCGGCAGCACCGGCTGGACTCTGCGGAAGAAGTGAATTCGCTGGACGCGAAGGCCTCGGGTGTATGTACAGCTCTGCTGGCCACCCCGCCTTCTTTCGAAAAGGAATTAATTCATTTGTCAACAGAAATAATTCAAATTTTGCAAAAGGAAAAGTTCTTGCTGCCCTTCGACCCCTACGCGGCGCCTTGCCTGCAGGTCCTGGGGCTTGCGCTCCAGGCGAAGCAGCTGCGAGGTAAAAGTCATGAAATTTGCGAAACTGACTTTATTTTCAATTATTTAAAATTATTTAAATAGAATTTAATCTATTTTTGATTTAAATAAGGTTTTATAATTAAAAATGAATTCAATTCCTCCAATTTCCAAAAGAATCCGTCAGCTTTCCGCCAATATCAGTTCTCACTCGCAGCTGTCTGTACACCCCAGACGCCGGAGGCAGCAGTTTCACTTTCGTCATTTCTTTTTATTTATTTTATTTTTGTGAAGTCCCTACGGGTCTCGCCTTTTATTTAAATTAGTTCAGTTGTTGTTAATCATTATTTACTCGATTTAACTTCTTTTTTGTTTCATTTTGTTTCATTTTCTTTAATTCACTTTTTGCTGCTGCCGCAGAGCCACTTCAGCAACTTGTCGAAGCGCTTTTCTCTTCTCCCAAGGTATTTAAAAAACAGAAAATGAATTTTATTTTTTTGTTCTTTAATTTTCTTTTAGATTGCCATTTTTCTTTTTTGCTTTTACATTTTAAGTGCTGCCTTCAATTATATAATTTCCAATTCGAATGACTTTAATTTCTCATTCAAGTGGTTTTATTATCTAGCTTGAAAATTAGAATTATTTTAATATCATTTGAATTAGTTTTTAAATTTTATTTTGTTTTTGCTTTTGTCTTTTTCGAACAGGAAAAGAACAGCGACGAGGAACTTGTGAAATTTGCAGGTACATTTTTAAATTTCTTTTTTTTAATCCTTTTAATTCGTTTTTCTTTTTTGGTAGCTTTTCAATTTCTTTTAATTTCTTCTTTAATTCCTTGTTTATAATTATCAAAAATAAAATAAAGAATAAAAAAGCAAACGAAGAGAAGGAAAGAACAAATAAAAGAGTACAAGAACAAATAAAAAGGATAAATAAATGTAACAAAAGAACAGACACGAAATAATAAATGAAAGAATAAATAAAAGAATAAAAGAAGGAAGAGAAGAACAAAAGAAATAAAAAAGAATTAAAACTTCTCTTTTTAATTTTCAGAGGCCTTATCGGAGAGTACTTGTGGGAGTCGAACTTTGGAAGTTTTTTTTTCTTTTTTTTCTTCCCAAACTTTTCAAAAGTTTTTTTCTTCTTTTCTTTTGAAAAGGGCCCCGCAGCTCGCAGCAGGTGGGGAGTTTAATTCATTTAATTTAATTGATTTATTTAATTTAATTAATTTAATTAATTTAATTTAATTTAATTTAATTAATTTAATTTAATTTGGTTTATTTATTAATTTACTGGATTTTGCCTTTACTGGATTTTTGTTTTATTCTTTTTCACTTTAATTATATTTGTGTGTTGTATAATTCATTTCAATACTTATAATTGGATATAACTATATAAATATAATTATATATTTATTTTAATTCTATTTATATATTTGTATATTTATCTATTTGTATATGTTATATATATATATATATATATTATAAATTAAAAACAAATAAAATACAATAATGCCCATGTGGCTGCAAATGAATTTATTTAATTTTTTGCATTACAAATATTTGTCTTTGTTATCTTATTATGTCCCGGCTCCCGTTAAAGCTCGTTTCCGTTTGCTGCTGCTGCTGCTGCTGCTGTTGCTGCTGCTGCTACTACTGCTGCTGCTGCTATTGTTGCTGCTGCTACTGTTGCTTCTGTTGCTGCTGCTGTTGCTGCTGCTGCTGCTTTGCTGCTCAGGCCGCTTTGGCAATTTCTTGCTGCAGAAGGTGCTGCAGTCGCCGTCCTTTGAAGCGCCGCATTTGAAGCTGCTGCTGCAGGGTGACTTTTATTTATTTTTCAGAATTTTGAATTTAATTTAATTTTAAAGTTACTTAACATTACTTTGTTTATTTGTTGCCTTTTTGTTGTTTAGAGCTGTTTAAACCCAATTCTTTGTTCATTTATTTGTTTATTTGTAATTCAAATTATTTGAAATCATTTCTTTGTTCATTCTTTCATTTTTGCTGTTCACTATTTGTTTTTTTCCAGATTCAAAATTTGTTTTTCCTTCTGTTTGCTTCTCCATTTTTATTACTTTTGTTTTTCTTCTAATCTTTTTGTTTTTTATCAAAAAGATTTTTCGTTTAATTCTTTTTGTTTTTTATTCATCAAAATTATTTCCTTTTCAAATTTGCATTCATTTGGGACAAGCTGGACCTACGGAGGGTTCCTGCTGCTGCTGCTGCTGCTGCTGCTGCTGCTGCGGGGTTTCTGTGCGGGTTTTGGGGGCGCTTTGGTTTCTTTTGTATTTGCGGCGCCTTCCGGGTGTCTGGACACCTTTTTGCACTTAAAATTGCGCTGTGCATCATCTGCTGCAGCAGCAGCAGCAGCAGCTGTTCTTTCTGTTTTTGCTGCGTGTCCTTGCCTTAAACTTGCTGTTATCGTGTGCTACGTGCTGCTGCTGCTGCAGCTGTGCTGCGCATATTTGCTGTAGACGTGCTTGAATTGGGCTTTGCCTACTGCTGCTGCGGCAGCAGCTGCTGCTGCAGCTGCTGCAGCAGCTGCTACTTCAGCTGCTGGTGCTGCAGCTGCTGCTGCAGCGGCTGTGCTGCGCAGGTTTTCCGGGTTTTCACGTGAATCACGCTTTGTCTCCTCCTGCTGCAGCAGCAGCAGCAGCAGCAACAGTGCTGCGCACATCTGCGGACTGTTGGCGAATTGTTTTTTTTGTTCAGCTTTGGACTTCAAAGAAATTTTGTTTTGCGGAACTGGGGCGGTGCTGTGGCGGTGCGCGGAGGCTTGCAGGCGGCTGCGGTGTACGTACACCTCATTTGCAGGCAAACTGTTCGAAACTCTCAAAATAAAAGGCGGCAGTTCTTTTTCTTTTTCCTGGTGGTGTTTGCTGGGCCTGTGCGCTCCCGATGACCTGCCGCAGCAGCTGCTGCAGCAGCTGCTGCAGCAGGACGGCGAGTCCGCGGCGCACGAGGGCGCTGCTGCTGCAGCTGCTGCTGCTGCAGCGGCAGCGGGGAGCCGCGCAAATCAAGACGAAGAAGCAGAGGACGAAGCTGCTCAAGAAGCAGAAGAGGGGCCAGAAGATCCCAAAGGATCTGAAGAAGCAGCAGCAAAAACAAACGAAGAAGACAGTCAGCAGCAAATTCGACTTGTGGACATTTGCACTCCCACGGGCTGCTCCGTGCTGCTGTCGCTGCTGCGCTTTCCCGCCAACACAATTCAGCCGCTGAACTCGGGATTCAAAAAGTTCGTGAGAACTGCTGCGAATTTGAATCTGAAAATCAAGAAATGGAGAAACAAAAAGGGTCCTCCCGACATCGAAACGCAGTAAGTCGGGTCTTGAACTTAATTCCCTGTAATTTGCTTTTCTAGCATTTCAATTTCCTCCAATTTGCACTCCTGGGCTCTCCAGTTTCCGGGAAAGCTGCAGTTCTCAGCGCAGGTCTTGGGAGTTTTTCTCGCTGTTGGCGTGGGAAGTTGCTCATGAATTTGAAATTCAAAAGATGAAATAAGCAGCAGCAACATGAGTTTTAAGAAAAGTGTTCAATTAGTCTTTTTCTCCGTCGAAATGTCTTTCTTCTGCTGCTGCTTTGCTGCGCTGCACCGCTTGAACTTCGGGTGTATCTACACATGCTGCTGAAACGGCGCGAAGCGCCGCGCGCGCCGGATGCGTCTGAAAATGAATATAAATAATAAAAATAACCTGCAATTCATTTATAAATATAATAATTACTCAAAGTAGTGCCCGTGGTGAAGAAAATAAATCCAAATTCCGAAGATTTTCTTCTGTGTTCCCGCAGTTCCCTCCTAGAACTCATGACCACAAACCGCCTGACTTCTCGCCTGCTGCAGCAAATTGCAGACACTTCCACCAGCAGCATACAGCCCAGCAACATTCACTATTTGATAAGACATTTAATTCCTTTTGTCCCTTCCTTTGCCCTCGACCCTGTCGGGGGATTCGTCCTCACCTCTCTCTACAACGCAGCCACTGTACGCTGACGCCTCTGCTGCTGCTGCTGCTGCTGCTGCAGATGATGGCGGTGTCCAAAACTCGCTGCGAATTCTGCTGCTGCTGCTGCAGCTGCTGCAGCTGCTTCTGTGCTTATGTTCTTGGGGCTGCTGCAAATGCCCCTGCTCCTAGGCCGCGGCTTCTGCTCATGCTGCTGCCGCTGCTGCTGCTGCTGCTGCTGCCGTGCTGCGAGGCTTCAGCCCGAGCTGAAGCGGGAGATAGTGGAGGCGCTGCTGCCTGTGGAGTTGGAACTGAGGGAGAAGAACTACACGGCGTACATGAAATGCGAAATTTACAAATTTACAAAAGACAAAGAAGAGTGGCAGAAGCGGCAGGAAAAGAGAAGCAAAACGAGAGTGGGCCTTTTGCTGCAGCTGCTTCCAGCAGCAAAAGTCTCGGCCACAAAATCCGAAATTTGCACAACTTGAACTTTCAAATTCTTCCCAAACTGCTGCAGCAGAAAGCCACAAACTGTCGAGACACTCCGCACTAAAATTCAAATTAAATTTAATTCTTAAAAGCTGCTGCTGAAAAACAAAATTGCTGCTTTCGAATTTGTTTTATGGCTTTCCGGGGTGTCAGTGTGCAGGAACTTCGCCGAAAATACGCTTTTAATGTTTTATTATTTAAATTGTTTTTTATTTATTAAAATTGTTGTTTTATTTTACTTTTTATTCTTATTTTCCTTTGTGTTCAGCTGAAATGAAATGTAACACTGCTTGAATGCCGCATTCAAGTTGAATTCAAATTAGTTGAATGCGCCGGTGGCCCCTTGAGATCTTTTCTGAATTGTCTTCATTTACGTCATTTAATTCTTTTTTTTAAATTTCAAAAATTAAACAATAAAATGTTTTCTCAATTTCTTAATTGCTTTTATTTCCGTCATTTAGTTGCTTTTGCTTTTTTGTTTCCAGGAGTTGTTCAAAGATATTATTTCGGACGCAGCCATTGAGGTGAACAACCAGGAGGCTGCAGATCTTTTGGTGAGTTTCTCCATCTTTATTAATACTTTTAAATTTAAAATAAATTTAAAAAAGGGAAAGGGGGAAAATACAAAAGCTAGACACGGGAGGAATAGCTGAAGCTGCTGCTGCTGCTGCTCCTGTTGATGTGCTGCTGGAACAAACAACAAGTGGAAACACGAAAAAAAGGTGGAAACAAATTATAAAAAGGAAAAAGGCATTTTACGTTTTAAAAAATGAATAACATTGGCAATATTATCGTTAGTTTTCTTTAGTTTTTGCGCTATTTTCTGCAGCCAGACAATCCGAAGGGCAAGAAGGCCGAGGCCGAGTCGACACCACTGCAAAACGAGGGAAAAGGGTTTCGAAAACCAAAAAACGAAAATAAAAACAAAAAAGGAACAATTAATGGAGACGAAGAAGAGGAGATAAACACCAAGGGGAAAGCAGAAAAAGAAGCCAAACGCGCAATCGACGAAATATTCCTTGGAGGAAAGCCGAATAGTTTCGAATATATTCAAATTCAAAACACTCTTATTCTAATGAAAATTAATGCATTTATGAAAAGTGTTGTTTCAACATTTTTCATTCAGAATTATAGGCGAACTTTGCGAATAGTTGAATTTAGTCCAGTGCCGAATCAACAAACTCCAATTGTGGCTCATCTAGTTGCAAAGTGACATATTCGACAAATAAAAAAGCGGATTCCAAATTGCCAGATAAATGAATTTAATTGCAAAAAATTGAAAATGAAAATAAAATAGTGACTGAGGATATTGGCGATAAGTTCAGAAGGTCCTTTTGAAAGATAGCGCGTCTAAAGGGCTATGAATTCGAAAATTTCCATTTCCATTTTGATTTGTCTTTTTCCTGTTTTTGTATTTTCAGCATTTGAGGAAAAGCAGAAGGGAAAAGAGAACAAAAAGAAGAAACAGCTCACTGGGAAGGCCAAAGAGAATTCAAATCCTCCAGCACCTTCAAACGAAAATGAAAATGCGAATCTGAATAAGACAAAAAACAAAGACTCCGCTTCCGACACAACTCTGGATTCATTTGAGGAAGAAAACACTTCGAAAAACAAAAAGGAAATTGCGAAAAAAAGGAAAATAGAGGTTTGTTCTGTTTCGCACGAAGTTTTGGTTCTGTGGGCGCATTTGAAAGTTTTTGGATCTGTCTTTAATTGCCCATATTGCATTTCTGCTTTGTCGTATATATTATATCCATCCTTATTCATGAATATTAGATGCATAGAGACTTATATTTCATTATTCAGACTATTTCTGTCGACTTTGTTGTCAAGATGCGTCCTAGGGAGCAGGCTCCCGGGTTATTGAATTTGATTGCACAGGGCTGTTGAAATGGTTGAAAGTTTGCATTTCTGTCTTATTCATACTCTTTACGTTGCTTTCTTTGTTGTAATTTTGCATTTGTCTCATTTATTTGAGTTGTTTTGCATTCATTCATGTATTTGCAGATGGAGAAGCTGGAGGCAGCCGCGAGCCCCGTGAATTCAAGAAAGAAGAAAGCTGTTTCTGATAGCAAGAACAAACAATGAGACTGAATCGGTTGGAGGGAAATGGGGCGAAATATATTTTAAAAATATTTATCTCCACATGATTGGCTTTTATCTTCGCATGATTGACTATTTCTTTCAATTAATTCTAGTCCATTGGACGTGCAACAGCCTGTGCACGACCCGACCTTCTTCCCTTTAGAATTCTAATTTCCTGAGGGTAATATTTTGCAATTTGAAGAACAGAAATAACGAAATTAATCCCTTTTACAGTTGCTATTACTAGCAGACTTCGCTATTGCCACGAATCACATGAAGGCAGCTTCCACTCTCCTGCACTGCAGCGGAGTGGAAGTTCATGTCTGGAACAAAGTGTGGCATCTCTTCGGGAGGGCCGAAGATACTTTGTAGCAGCTGAGCATTAATAGATTAATTCGCTTTTCTAGGAATAAATTAGTATGCAAAGAGTTGGATTTGTAAGTCGACTGGGAGGCGAATCTGCAGCTGGTCTGCCTTCTGCAATGCTCAAAAGCGCTTTCCAGTTGCGTCTCCACTCGAAAGCCAACGTGGGTAGAGGATAAAGTCTTCAATTTGCATAAAACCAGTCTCAAAGATGTTGAAAATAGGGATTTTACTTAGGAAGACTGAGCTCCGCGTAAAAGAAAGCTGGGGCCCCAGAGTCGAGCAGGGGGCCCCCATCAACGGAACAGCGACACTGATTGTGCGGAAAGCGGGCATAGACCCGCGAATTAAGAGTAAAATTGAATAACTCCTCTTGCGGAAATCTTGGGAAGATAAAGTTTACTCAAATTTTTCGTCAGCAGATCATTTGATCGGTGCCGAGAGAGCGCTATGAATTGACTGGTCTGGTATGTGATGGAGAGCAGCCACTCAACGCAGACGGCTTCCCAAGCCGCAGAAGAGCATAATTTAGTTTGAATTGCGTTGAAAAATGCAAATAAGAAATGAGTTGAGGGAATGTCGCTCAGTTTCTGTTCCGAGTTTCAGCTGGGCTTGCAGAGCGTGCTTGCTGCCGACGGCGATACGCAGTGTCTGCCGTTGGACGCGAGCAAAGATGAGGCAAAGGGGACTTTGTATGAATTCATTGATGTTCCACCTGAAGTTTGTGAAGGTTCTGGCGCTGCAGATGAGGGTTTAGAGCATTCTTTCGGGGGCACTGCCGCTGCGTGCGGCAGCGCAGCGCGCAGCAGCAGCTCCTCGGGGAACTGCAGCAAGCCGGCGCTCCTCTCCAGTTTGTTTTCCCGCAGCTTGCACGAGTCCGCAAAAGCATTTAAAGAATCCAAATATGAAGACGTTCTCGAGGATTCTGGGGATCCGCCCCACCGCGAGATCATTTCGCGTTTCTACCGACTCAAGGCCATCAAGCACCCCCACCTCTGCGCCTACACGAACGTGCTGCGTTCAAAAAGGCGAATTTATTTGGTTTCCGAGTACTGGTCTTTGTCTCTGCAGGACATAATCGACTCCTGGAACGAAGAAGGTGCTGCGCAGCCCCGCGAAACTGCCCCCACCGCAGACCCACCGCCAGCAGCAGCAGCAGCAGCAGCAGGGGCTGCGCCGGCGAGCTGGGACCGGGGAAAGCTGCAGTTTCTGGCGCGGGTGGCCGCGGAAACTCTTGCTGCAGTGGCGCACCTGAATAGCTGCGGGCTGAGCCACGGGCGGCTGCAGCCGCGCACCATCCGCATAGACCCGCAGGGAAATGTGCGGCTGAGCGAGTGGGGCCTCTCTTACCTCACGGGGGGGGCCCTCTTGGCCCCCACTGCAGACTTGCTGCCTCCCTTCTCACTGCTGGCCCCTGAGCAGCTCCTGGGGGGGCCCCAGCTGCTCCAGCTCTGCCCCGCTTCTTCCAAACAGGACGTCTGGGCCCTCGGCCTGCTTTTGCTGCAGGTGCTGCAGCCCCCCTGGGGTGTACGTACACCCGAAAGCGGCCCCCCAAGCAGCAGCAGCGGTGCACCAGCAGCGGCAGCAGCAGCAGCGGCAGCAGCAGCTGACCCGGAACAAGCTGGTAAACGCGAAAGCCCGCATGCAGACACCGAGGATTCCCACCGGGGAAGTCTTGCTGCTGCTGCTGCTGCTGCAAATGGAGAAAAGGGAAATGACACTCCCGGGTGTACAGACAGCTTCAGCAGCAAGCTGCAGCAAATCACCCAGCTGGTGCTCTACTGCGGCCTCGGCCTTGACTTCCAAGTCCTCCGCCCGCTGGACCCCGCGCCAGACGCAGCAGCAGAAGCAGCAGACTCGCCCGCAGCAGCAGCAGCAGCAGCAGCAGCCACGGCGCCTACAATTTCTGCGGTGGGCACGGAACTCTCGCGGTGGCTGCTGCACCGGAAGCTGCTGCTTCTCAAGATGATGGCGAAGGCAGCGGGCCCTCCGTGCTTCATGCTCGCGCAGTGTACATACACTGCAGCACCCGCCACAGCAGCAGCAGCAGCAGCAGCAGGCGGGAGCGGGAAGCAGCCTTTGCAGCACGTCGCCGGTGCAGCGGAAGCGCCGGGCAGCAGGGAGCCGGTGCCAACCAGTGGTCATGCCGGAGCAGCAGCAGCAGCAGCAGCAGCAGCAGCAAGAGCTTCTCTTGAAGAAGCTGAGTCGAAGCTGTTTGAAAGCTGCTTAGTGGAACTGGTCAAATGGCTCTCTGGGGCTTCGCTGTGTCACCGCAGCCACTTTGGCTGCTCCCGCTGGCTGCAGCAGAAAGCAGCAGCAGCAGGCAGCACGCCCGAGGCGCCAGCAGCAGCAGCAGCAGGCGGCAAGCCAGAGGAACCTGCAGCAGCAGCAGCAGCAGAAGCAGCAGCAGCAGGGAGCGAGGCTGCTGCGCGGCAGCAGCTGCTGGAGGAGCTGCAGCAAGTGAAGCAGTTTTTGCGGGCGTGTTTGACTGTGCATCCTTCGAGCCGGCCGTCTGCTGCTGCGCTGCTGTGTCTGCCGTGGCTGCAGCAGGCGCAGCAGCAGCAGCAGCGCTGGTGTCTGAGGGGCGCGGAGTGTGTGGGGTTTATAGCGGAGTTGAAGGTGCAGGAGGAGCTGAGCAGGGTTTTGAAAGACCTCGAGGAGGGCGAAGAAGGTCAGTCGAGGGTTTAGGGTTTAGGGTTTAGGGTTTGGGCGAGGGTTTAGGGTTTGGGGTCCAGGGCTTGCCTGCCGCTGCCTGCGCCTGCGCCTGCAGCAGCAGCAGCGCAGCAGCAGCAGCAGCCCGCCTTCCCCTGGCTGCCGCACTCCCGCTGGGGCCCCCGCTGCAGCAGCAGCCTCGAGCTGCTGCAGCGAAACCACAACATAGGCCTTGAGGAGTTCTTCTACTGGTGGCAGCTGCAGGGCGGAGACGTCCACGCTGCGCTGCTTGCTGCTGGCGCCTTCAGTTCGGTGCCCCCCCTCTTTGCCCTGCCTCTTTGCTGCCTCAGGGGGCCCCCCCGGGGGGCCCCCCGG